TCTAATTTTTTTTAATCGTTAGCTATTGTTGTTTATTATTATTTTATTGTTTATAGTTCCTGTTTGTACTTTCCAGTGTGGTCTTGATTTTGGTCATTTTGTCTCTGTAGACGTTGTGTAATATGTGTGTAGTTCGTTTTTATACTTTTTATTGAGTAATAGTATTGATTTAATTCAGTTTGCTTGAAGGTGTTTGCTGATATGTTTGTCCATGGCTTTTGTTGTCTGATACGTTTTTTATTTTTTATAGTTTGTGTTTGTACTTTTCCTTGCTAAGTGGTACTGATTTTAATGCCTCTGTAGGTTTTGTTTATTTTTTTTTCGTTAGCGGTTCTTATTTTTGTCCTTTTCTGTCTGTAGGTATTGTTTCTGGGTTTTTTTTATTGTTTATAGTTCCTGTTTGTACTTTTCATTGTGGTATTGATTTTGGTCATTTTGTCTCTGTAGACGTTGTGTGATATGTTTCACTTTGCTTCGAAAGTGTGTGCGGATATGTTTTTCCTTTTCTGTCTATGGCTTTTGTTGTCGGATATGTTTTTATTGTTTATAGTTCGTGCTTGTACTTTTCATTACTTACTGGTACTGATTTTAGTTTCCCTGTTGGCTTCGTTTGTCCTTTTCTGCCTGTAAGTCTTGTTTCTGATATGTTTTTTATAGTTTTGGTTCTGATTTTAGACTTTTTGTATCGGTGTGGGTGATTTGAGTTAGCTTATATGGCGGTGGTCTGTCGCTGTTGGGTTTCTGTGTAGGTCAGATTGGAGTTCGTTTATGTTTAGGTTCCGTAGTGTTTTTTTTCTGTACAGAGCTCTACTTGTCCGTTTTCAATGCAGTGCAAACCTGACGTCTGCTTGTACGTCTGGCGTGTATGCTTCAAAGTTTTGGTTATTGGTTAGAGTTGGTAAACATATTTTTTCAACTTATTTTTAATTTTTCGAAAATATAAAAATTGAAAATAAATATTTAATTAAAAAACTGCAGGATGAAGAATAGTTAATCAATTTTCCGCCAGTCCCGGGAACGAATCAATCCTTCCACTATTTTCAGGATCCGGAAGCGTTACAATAAAACCGGTAGTTGTCCGGCAAGGACAGTCACTAGCAGACTAATCAACCGTCATTTATATTATTGTTTATAAAAATTAACAAATTAATTAATATTTGAAACACAGTGTCCTGAATTTGCCAATTGTGAAGAGATCATTATGGCATAATCCTTTTCCTATCAATTTAGGATTATTCACAACGATATTTAGGGTATTAAAGTAACCGTCGTATCAGGTTAAATGAGTTAGTGTGTTGTTAATACAGATAAAATCGAACAACAAACAACAGCAGCTGCACAGAGCAGACGATACTGTCCAAACCACCTCCGAGGAAAAGAAGCTATGCCTAGGAATTTTCCTCGGCACAGAAAAGGTTTTCGTCGGTGCGTGGAAGGATTATTACACAAACTCAAGGCCCATTTGCCGGACACCTATTGAGTCTCATCACCGCCTATCTCACACTTGATAAATCATCCCTTATTTAATCTAGAGTCCTACAAGGCAACGTGCTAGGCCCATTTCTTTATCTTTCTTCGTAAGCCAGTTCTTTATACATTGAAACGTCACAATAGCTCAATTTGTAGACGATGTAATATCTCTAAGCTAGGATGGAACTTGTGAATAAGCTGAACGGACACTCTAACTATTTTCAGATATTATAGGTGATTGATGCATAAAGTAGCACTACCCTTAATCCATCCACGTGGACTCGCCTGTTAAAACTATAATAATAAAATTAAGGCACACAACACATTGCTTCAAACAATTCCTGGATGGTCTACCATGTGAAGGGGCACTTATCGCATATAGGGGTTATAAGACAGAGTGCTGGGTAAGAAGCGCTCCTCCTCACAAAAAAGGAAAGAAAAGGTAAAAAGAAAGGGAAGGTTCCCAAAGGAGAAGACAAAAACTCTTTTGTTATAAGAGTTTATTAAAATCTATTTATATATCTATTTATACATATCCCTATACCCTACCGTCACATTCGTTCATTAAAATCCCCAACCACCAAGTCAGCAGAAATAATAATGTTTTCTTTTGAGCTTACGGCTCCCTTTCAAAAGTATCTTTTTCCAATTTACAGAGAGATCCGACCTTTTTGCCGTGTCGCATACGCCTGAATCTTATTCTCCTTTTTCCTACATCTCCTACCCGACGTCACTATGGTGGGGAGTCAATCTTGTGTTACAACCCCTAATAGTCGCAAATAAAAGAAAGACTAGCTATCCAGTTCTCATTCGCCTCTTCGTTCTTTTTCATTATAACTTTTCTTTTTATCAACCAGTCTGAGGTTTGCCGTGAGTTACCATACCACTGCCACTACAGCCCCATTTCGCAATACTCCTCCTATGGGCTCAGCACACATTTTGTCCTGAAGAAGGTACAATCAGCCTGAAACATATTTTTAAGAATGCTAATCTGCGCGCCATGGTTTTATGCAATAATGCAATACATGCCATTCGGATCTCAAAATGCCTACTATTACCATCCTAATCAAAGAGAATTACTTCAACTGAGAAACACCTTAAAGTAGCATGCAGCTCCAAATAGACGCCTTAAGGCTTAAAAGAAAATGCTTGGAAGACTCGCTGGATAAGCAATCTTCAAGGTAGAAACACAGTAGCTAATTGCTAGAATTGCTTGTTTAAAAATATATATGTGTCTATGTCTATATATGTGTCTAATATATATGTCTATATAATTCTAACCAAGACCAGCCATTAGGTTGATACCCTTGCACGGTAGTGACAGACTAAGTTTCTACCAGGAGTCGCCACTGCTTCAGCAATGGTTTCGCCTTCCAGGCAGCAGCCAATGAGATTGCAGCACCACTGCATCGACGAAATGTCACCACTCATTTATGGAGCAAGTCATAAGCACTTGACGATACGGTTATTCAACTCACTCATCCTTCGCCCTCTCAACACCCGACCTGGCTTACAGCTGCACAGGCCCTTCTCTCGCTACCGACTTACGCTACACACAGCCACAGCTTCAATTAATTATATACGATTTTTCGAAATGAAATTATGAGTATTGATTCAAAGATCATGGGTTCGAATCCTGTTTGTGACACAAATTTTTCATTTCATGTATGATCAATTGAATATATATATATATATATATATATATATAATGTTAAATATATATATGTATATAATAATGATAATGATAATAACATATATGTAATAATGATAAATATAACTCTTATCTTGTTTATATGAAAGAATAAGAAAAATACGAAGAGAAATAGAGGTTTCGTAAGGTTTTGAAAGTGAAAACCAAAGAATACACTATCACTTTTGAAATGAGAATTAAGTACCTTTTCCCTTGCAAATCAGTTCCAAACCTTCTCAACCCATCAAAACTGTCTTCTCGGCAGAAACCGGATTTGTATCATCCAAGTAGAAAACAGTGTCCGTCCACTTTTGGAGAGCGCCTGAGAGGCGTCAGGATAATCTTATGTATGTTATGCATTGTCTTTCCCAAATAGGAGTACTAGGAAGTAAATAATTTATCGATTTTCAGTGTCATTAATAAGGGCTTGCAGACTATATTGTCTTCAGGATGTTTTTTCATTAGATTTTGAACTTAGAAAATAATAATATAGTATAGTTTATATACAGAATGTCACAACAATCCTGTATTTTAATCGATTCTTATCCGAGCAACTATCAACATCCAAGAACACCTTGTGTTTACAAGACTGTGCTAAAAGTATAGTACAAGACGGAAAAAGGAATGTTCCCAGTGTATATTTACATTGAAAAAAAGAGTCTTATCCACCTCTATACATCATCAAAAAGGGTCTACCGACTTTTACTTAATCAGATACTTATGTATGACTACACCTGGACTGCAGTCTGACGAAGAATCCTCCCACACAAAATATGTTTCTCTTAATACTACTTAACAGATTACAATTAATTAAGGTTTTTAGTTAAGATAAAAAAAGTCAATGGCACGAGGCGGGATTCGAACCCACGATCTTCGGCTAGATACGCCGCTGCTCTACCACTTGAGCTATCGTGACCTCAATCCACTCGGACACCAACTTTCCATCTCAACCCCACCTTTTGATTTTGAAAAATGGCAAAAAGGAGGGAAAATTGAAAAGGTGGGGTTGAGATGGGAAGTTGGTGTCCGAGTGGATCGAGGTCACGATAGCTCAAGTGGTAGAGCAGCGGCGTTTCTAGCCGAAGATCGTGGGTTCGAATCCCGCTCGTGCCATTGACTTTTTTATCTCAACTAAAAATTTTAATTAATTGTAATATATTAATTGGTCAAGCGGACCACGAAATTAGTGAATTTAATTACTTAACAGAGTTGGATAAATACAAGGATAGAAATTTGGTTTGACTCTCAATAATCAAGTAGATTTATACAAGACATTACTGCGACCACTCTGGACATACAGAGTGGATCTATGAGGTACCTCCGCATGGCGTATATAGTATATAGTGCGTTCATAGTACATACATACGTACTTAGTACATATATACATCCTTATAGTAAGGTGCAATTTTTCTGAGGACTTTTGATTGGAAAGGTTGGATGCGTTGGATATTAAATGGCGCCATCTGTGCCACCTTCCTATTCCACTAAGCTAAAAACTAACTAACTTATCTCACTTTCCGCAGCGACCTCAACATTCCTTTTCGACAAACTGATCCGATCTCGTTTCCAAAGGTTCCACACTAACGCCTAGATCACCGTAACCCTATCTCCTTTATCTACACTTTCCGATCCCAAGAACGAACCTCTTAAACGACGTTGGTTGCGAGCTCTTCGTACCTTAAACGCTCATATTGAGTGTCTGTGTTGACTGGTTTATTTTTCGGTGTACGGGGTGGTGAACCTGAATGCAATGATGATTGGTTGGCAAATAGGTTCGTTCCGTATTTATGAGTGAAATTAAACACCTTTTATTGAATATATAGTAAGTACTAGTCAATTATGTATTGGCCCTTTTATTAAGGACATCTTGCCATCTGTTACTTGGTACAACTACCTGGTCTACACAGGTTTTCCCTTTCAGAGAGTTCTGCAAAGATCTGTGTTCGGGTGCGTCTCCGTCACTGAAGCGCCCGATTTGCGACGTACTTTGTACCCCTCTATCTACAACCCCTATCTTCTGGAAATCCACAGTAATACACTTCCCTCCTTTTTCCCTAAAAATCCATCCCTTCCAGCCCTCTCGGGCTCTCTTCTCCGCCAGCTCTCGGAGCGAGTACACGTCCTATCGCCCTATCACGCCAAACTGTTGCGCCATAGTAATTCACTTCCGTGTAAGATCGCTGCTTCTTAAAGTTTTCCTCGCTACGCGAATCCCCACGGATTCCCCTTCAAATCGCCATACGATCTTCACCTCCGCGTGCGTCCCATTTCACGACCGCATGGTCCCCAAACCTCTCATCGCTATTTTCCCTTAATATATCATCTCCTTCTTCCATCTACCATCATTATAATCCCGCGAACGAGTCACCCTTTCATTCTCCCCCGAAGACTCCATCTACTACCTGGATTGCATCGTCTCATTCTCATCGCCACTGGATTGATCATCCATCATCATCATCCTCAACGACGCTGCAGGAACCAGGTCGGTATACCGGCCTAATCATCGCCGAACAACGCACGATATCGCATTCAGGAGACATTCACCGCTTTCCGGTCTTCATCGCCTTCAGAGGGATTCATCGCCTTTAGACCGTCATCGCCTAAACATCTCCAATACGATCATCGGCCATCTTGTAAGCCATAGAAATTTCATTAAACAGTGAGTCTTCAATTACTCCTTTCGTTCATTATTTATTCCTTCATCTAACCATTCCTAAACTAACATCCCTTATTCAATCAGGAATCTTCCATTCCCGTTAGTGCCGAAACAATCTTCTTATTAACTTCAACTCCTCTCTCCTGGTGGTGTTCGTCGGCGCCATTTTGATTTTGGCTGCTGGCGAACAATCTGAATAAATGTTATTGAGAAGGCGCTGGGTCCGGAGCATCGTGCAACATCCCAACCGATGGGAGAGTATCGCATTGTGATACAAGACCATTCCTTTCCGATTAATCAATTCTGGACGTTTTGTGTTAATTATACGAGTCAGTCGGGTTAACTGTGAGAAATAGACAACTGAGTTGTTCTGCTTGGCGGTAGCACCTAGTAGTGAACAACACCTTTAAAATCCTACCTCATAGAAAGCATTATTTCATTTACGTCTGCATTCGAGGAAGTTTTCGGCGGTTTCGCCCTGGTCCTTATTATTTCTTTCCAATCACGTTATTGCAGAGGACGGATTTTTATATCTAGTATTAGTACTTTATAAGTGGGTAATGGACATGGAGTTAACGTATACAGCACCAAAACATTATCCCTGACCAGAACGATCTGAAGCTACTAAGCTACTTACTTTTCTCCTTCATCCTCTACGAGTCATGTTCTTCGTTCGTTATTTCAATACACATATTTGTATACGTGTGATTGTGAACTTTTTACTTTTAATCACTTTATAGTCAATTTGTGTGGGTTCGATTCAATCCTTATTTCCTTCGATAAACCCGAACAAAATGTACTCCAGTTTCAATGAAAAACAGCTGACAAAGGCATTCGGGCCATTTTGTCAATTTAAAATTTATACTTTTAAAAAAAGTCTTTCTACGGGATAGAAACGGACTTATGAAGTTCCTGATTTTCATGTTCGCATTATGTTTGGTCCGAGCAAAGTTTACCACAAAGAATTATTGCTGTCTCTCCTGCAAAGAAAAACACGTCATGTGTCAATATCCAGATGTAAGTAGTTTGTATTTATTAAACTTTTTTTTGACCTTCTAACCTTTTTATCAGTATGGATGCTAAAAATTAATCCACGAAAAATAAAAAGTAATTGTCCGTCCGACATGTTCGATGTCAATCCGTTGTATAGCCCTCACAGTTTGTGGTAGTTATTGGTTTGCGGAGTGAAAACACGCTACCACTCTACTTGGCCTGTAGTCAAGGTGAGCATCCAGGGTGAGCACTATCTCACAGGTTAGATGTCATTCAAATACCGTTCGCCTTAAACCTTGTAGTAACTTGTTTCATCAGATAAACAACAAACAAAAATTAAACGAATGATACTGATGCGGGACAATGACACCCTGGATGGCCGCGGTCGTTCACTGTTTCACACTCAAAAATCACACAGGAGAAACTTTCAAAGGAAAGAGCCATTTTTGAAACAATGTACAGAAAATATCAAGGATTAAACGAGGGTGCTTGAAGATTCCGGCGTACTGCAGATTCCTTCCTTTACTCGTTGCATGATACGAGATGATAGGTTGAAAAAGATATGTGTTGTGCCGTTGCTTACGATACACAACTGGTTACGCGACGGCAATCGCAACAAATGGACATGGTCATAGGTTATGTTGTTTGTGGGGTTCGGCGATTGTCGCTTGGGGATTTGATTGAGGGAGCGTGATCCGGTGGGTTCCTGCAATAAGTGCTTACACGAACACAATAACAGTTCCTCACTGGATGGCATAAGCCGAAAAGCGTTTGTCTGACCTCAAAATTCGCAAGAAAGTAAACAGACTTTGCAAAGAGATCAAGTACCGATCAATCTGTACTCAGTGACACACAGTTACGAGTTGAACCATGACCCACAAGTATCTGCATCCATCGTTCATATAATCCCTTTTAAGTCGGGTTGTTCTTCACAAACGATAGCTATGTGAATAATCGTAAATTAAACTGGAATGTTTTAACGAAAATTGTAATTATGATTTTGACGTTCCAGAAGAATAAAATCGGGCCGAAGTGTAATCAATTCATGTCTGTGAATATGGATCCGGCAAAAGTGCTCTACTTGTGTAACAGGATAAAAAGTGTGAAGGGTGTTTTTGCTGGAGCGAGTGATTTGATGGAAATGGTATTTATATATTTTAATTAAATTTATTATGTTATAATAATATTTTGGTATTTACAAAACAGTCTTGGGACATCGAGTTGCAAGAGATGGCACAGAGGTGGGCGAATCAATGCCCGAACGCCTCAGACTCTTGCAGGAATACAGGTTTTGACTTTGCTAAGTAAATTAGTTGCCGGCCTTACTAAAATTCTGTTCTGATGCAGCGAGAGGTGAGGTGAACCAAATTGTCGATTCTGTGATCAACGAGGAGTTCGTCCTTCCGACGTGGGAGTCGGTCTTTCTGAAATGGTACATCGAGGATATCCCGTCATCAGTGATTAACGAATACGCCGACGGGTACGGGCATCGGAGAGACCACCGGTGATCTTTCGATGTAACATTCCAACAACTTTTCAGACGGTACAGGGCCCTGTCCCAGTTGATATGGGGTGAAACCCGGTGGGTCGGATGTGGCGCCAGTTCGCATATCATAGAGGTAGGAAGGGTTATCACGTTGGTTTGCAATTATTCACCCCCTGGTAACGTCCCGTCACAACCCGTTTTCAACATAAAGGGAGGAATGTGTACGAACTGCCCAAAAGGGAGTTTCTGCAGCGACAAACAGAACGTCAATTTGTGCGTACCTCTTGGTATGACTATTTGACATTCAAAAATTAAATAATTTCCTAATTCTTTTTCACTTTTTCCAGGTGTTCCCAAGATCGCAATAAACAATATACTTTTATTCATTGCAAATATACTGATATTTCTATCAGTCTAAATATAAATATGTATGTAAATATAGTATAAATATAAAATTTATATTGTTTGAATTTTTTTGGTTTCTACAGCTTATAAAATTTCAAAATTAGTATTTTAACAAAAACGTGTTATACAAGTCGACAAAAGCCTTAGCTCACTTTTAAGCACTCTTGGCTTTACTCAATGCTATTAACATCTTTAACTATCACCTTCATATCTGTTCCGACTCTCTTTCCGCATTCACCACATTAACTAATAATTCCTTGTATTCTATGTTCTATAGAACCATGCTACAAATTTAAAACACTATCAGGACAAAGTTCCAAAGTAAGGACTATAAGGACAACTTAGCAGAAATCCCGCACTGAAGATGGCTGAGTGATGTCCGAACACACATGAAAGAAGACGGATCCAGTGCCAATCAATCCCGATTCAGTGATCCTAATAGAGGACACATGGCTTTAGGAGCTGTATTGTAAAACTAATCCAAGCATTCTAATCAAAATCCTTATGTCAAAGCTCCTCTAAGCTCTTTAGCATCACTATCCACAATAACCTTAACATTCGATAGTGAATTGGTCTGTTCCTGCTTCCTCAGGCTGCACTCCAATATTTTAACCCTACTGATCAAGCCCACTCCACTACCACCCTCATCGCCTCAAACGACGATGCAGGACGCATATTATTACTATATCTTTTTAGTATTAATTAATTATTCTTTATATGTAAGGCCTTGGTTGAGATGAAAACGTTAGTGTCACGAGCGGAGTTCGAACCCACGACCTTCGGCTCAATACGCCGCTGCTCTAACCACTTCAGCTATCGTGACTTCGATCAGTTCGGACACCAACTCCCCATCTCAACCTACAACCTTTCGAATTTTCCCTCTTTGTGCCATTTTTCCAATGTTTTATCATGATTCGATTCTCAGCGACTTATGAAGTGGCAACGGAGAGCTGCTAGTGAAGTGATACTTCTTTACTTATGTAGAAATGTATGGTGTTTAGTGACCGTTAGCCAATGATTCTTTTAAGATCGTGATGTGCGGTCTGGTGTGACGTAGGTTTTAGAAAAACATTTTCTTTATCATGCCAACGTATCGATCTTTATTGAGATCATCTTCCGACACTCTCAACACGAAACACAAGAATGACTCATCTACACGGAAAACAAACACTTGAGCCCTGAAGATGATCTCAATAAAGATCGAAACGTTGGCATGATAAAGAAAATGTTTTTCTAAAACCTATGTCACACCAGACCGCACCTCACGAACTCCAAATAATCTTCTTTACTTAGTAAATATTAATCCATTTATGTTTAGTGGTCCAATTAACCAAATTACTTATTTTATGTTTAGCTCATCAAATAGAAAATCTCCTGGGCATGTGCAATCACCTCCGCCATACTCTGATACCTACCACAAAAGGCCATAGTCTTCTTAACCACCATATATAATGCCATCCTACGAACTACTTATTATCCCCTCTTATGGAAATTTTCCGTCGTTATCCTCATTCCTAAAGCTCATAAACCTCCCGACCAGATATCCTCCTACAGACCCATCAGCCTTCTTCCTACAATGTCCAAAATCCTTGAAAGACTCCTCTTAAAACGATTAATCCCTAGAAGTATCCTATAATCCTAGATACTTATAATATTATTCCCTTTCACCAATTCGGCTTCCGCCCACATCATTCTACGACCCAACAAGGTTTTAGAGTTTTGGACACCCTTTCCTCTGCTCTTGAGAACAAAGAGTATTGCCTGGGTGCGTTCCTAGATGTAGCACAAGCTTTTGACAGGGTGTGGCACCCGGGCATGCTTTATAAACTCAAACGCTTCCTACCCACTCCTTAGACCGCTGCTTCAGAGTGAGGTGCGGTAACGAGTTCTCTGAAATCAGGCCAATACAAGCCGGTGTCCCACAAGGGAGTATCCTTGGTCCTATCCTTTATACCATCTATACTGCTGATCTACCTACTCACCCCAATACCATCATTACCACCTACGCGGATGATACCGCAATTTTGTCCTCTAACTTGAATCCTACCCAAGCTACCTCTAATATCCAAGAACACCTTGAGCTCATCGAACGTTGGTGCAAAAAGTGGAGGACAAGATTAAATGGAGAAAAGTGCATCCAATGTATGTTCACTTTGAAAAAAGTCTTGCCCTCCACTATACATCAACAATGAAGAGATACCGACTTCCACTCAAGTCAAATACCTAGGACTATACCTTGACAGCAGACTGACGTGGAATCTCCACGCAAGACTTAAAAGACAACAACTCAACAGAAGACTTGGACAATTACGCAGACTACTAGGACCAAAATCCGGGTTGACCATCAGCACTAAACTGACCTTATACAAGACTTTATTGCGACCACTTTGGACATACGGTGTGGAACTGTGGGGTTCCGCCAAACCATCCAATATCCAGCGTATCCAGTCCTTCCAATCAAAAGTCCTCAGACAAATCGTCAAAGCTCCTTTTTACGTCTCTAACCTCACTATTCACAAAGACCTCAACGTTCCTTTTGTCCACGAACTGATCCATTTCCGATTCCAAAAATTTCATACCAACCTATCGATCCATCCTAACCCTACCGCTAGAGCCCTCTCCACATATTCCCATCCCGAGAATCCACCACGTCGCCTAAAACGACGATGGCCCCGAGACCTCCTTGCCCCTTAATCTATTAAAATGAGTGCCAGCACTGGCTGGCTTCTCATGGCATGCGTCCTCCAGGTGCAGCGCTGGCATCAGTGTTAGTGCTGTGACCGAGCGGTGAACAATATACATTGTCATCACATTTGTATTATGTACAAGTATGTATAGGCTACAAATAAATAAATTTAAAAAAAATGTTTAGCTCAAGTGGTTAGAAGGTCGTGGGTTAGAATTCCGCTCATGACACTAACTTTTTCATATCAACCAAGGCCTTACATAAAAAGAATAATTGAAATAAATAATTTGGTCAATTAGATCACTAAACATAAATGAATTAATATTTAGTTTTAATTCCCTATTATAATTTTAATTACGGCTTTTAGTTGAGATAAAAAAGGCAGTGTCACGAGCGGAATTCGAACCCACGACCTTCGGCTAGATACGCCGCTGCTCTACCAGTTGAGCTATCGTGACCTCGATTCACTCGGACACTAACTTCCCATCACAACCCCACCTTTTGAATTTTTAGTTTTAATATTGAACTGTAGAAATTCCAGGAACTTGGGTCTTCGTTTAAAATGAAATTTGGTTTTAACCGGTCTGCTTCTTTTCGTTGAGTTGGTCGCGTTCGGTATGTCTTTCACTGTTGGTTTTTTCAAGTTTTACTTTGTGCTACTCTTTTAAATTTTTTCGTGCACTTGAACCTCGTTTGGCAAACTTGAAAGTTAGTGGTGGTTGTTGGTTGCTAAAGTCGGTCCGACTTTAGGCTTCACTATCAATTCCGTTCATGTGTTCACTGACTAGCAAATTATCAATTACAATGTACTTCATGCTTACAACTTATGTATGACTGATCTTTATGACGAAACTGACAGTTCCTCACTAAATGTGGCGTAAAACGGAAACGCGTTTGATTGAAACGTATCAGTTCATCATTAAGAACTTCGTCTTGTGATAAATAAACCATTAATCGATGTTCTGTTTTTATTGTTTTTATTTTTGTTGTTTTTAAATTAAACTGGGCTTCTAAACCGGCTGCGGGTCGGTTCTTTGTTCGACACCGTCGACGGTCTTAATTCAAAAATTGTTTCTGACTTCTGTTAATTGGTCGACGGCGTGAACCCGTCTCGGGCAGTGCAGACGAAAATGTGAAAGGGTTTCGGACGAGAAGAAACACCAAAGCGTTGTAGACATTTTTTTATTAAAAGCAGACGTTTTCAGAAAACATGGTTCCCATTTTCACATATTTTGGCTGTCATCTATATGAGCCAGTCGTTCCAGGACAGGCGGGTGGGTGAGAAGTACATTGGAGTAGTGCGGGTCATACACGGGAAAAGCGTTGTTTTTGGCTGTTATCTTGAGAAGGGCCCTTTTCAGATGGTCTGCCTCGCCTAGCCTTACTGCAAAACGATCCGCCTCGAATTCGCAATATCGCGATATCTGACCTGTCGCCATTGTTGATATCTGGAAAAATTTCATTATTGAACATGAGGTAATAAGAAGCAGAGATGGGAATTGAAAAACCTGTTTAAAAAGAGGAAACAGCATTGTTACAAAGATAAAAACACCAATGATGGGATGCGGTGGGTCTTTGATGAGGTCGAATCCGAATACTCTGAACAGCCACTCGTTGCCGTAACTCCACATCAACAAATTGCATATCAAGAATAACTCCAACTAAAGGAATGATCGTTGTAATTGTGAAGAGACGTCAATAGTGCATAACTTTACCGCTGTAAGTCCGAAATAAATGGAGGTATGCTTGCAGTACCAGTGTCCGAGTTCATGCGATATGACTGCAGCGACTTCATCTTCGCTAAATTCGTTCACCAACTTCTGGGACAGCAGAACCATGTTTGCTCCCAATATCCCGCAGTAATATGCGTTTGTAATATCTGAATTTGTATCTATTATGTCTGAATTTAAAGAATTTTGTTATTGTTAGGGTATAATATTAAACAAAAATAAGGAAGACAGTAATTACAATAATTAAAGTCACCTGTTGTTGAAATCCTTTCTACGTATATTTTTTCGTCGGGAAACCGTAACCTGTCAGTTATCAATCTTAAGCGTTCGTATAGAGGCCCGGATGAGAGTTTGTCGTGTATTTGGGGTACGATGATGTTGACGTACAAAACTGTAAATATGGCGCCGATGGCTGTGGAAATCGGGAACAAGATCAAGAAGAGCAAGCCAGAATAGCTATCTGTCATGTTGATGAGCAACATCGTGAGCATTGCTGTGACGAGACCGTGCACGAACAAGAAGAATATCTCCGTTATCATTTGATGGAAAGCTTGGTTCACCTGGAAGAAAACTCATTTTGTCTTATACATTTATTCTGAGCATGAGATACGCCCACATACAGTTCTGTGACCGGACATTACGCCGACTGCAGCCGACAAAGGGATGAGGGGAGCTCTAGCGCTGAACAACGCGAGGACGTTGTAAGCCACTGCACGACTGCTCGTTGTACCCGCGATGTCCCACGTCGCTGCCCAAGCGACGGCACAGCCGAAAGTTAAGATCTTATACTGAAGTGAAAGTAAAAATGTTGAAGAATATGAGGTGAAAATAGAACAAAACACTTAACAGTTCTCGCGCAAACTCTAAACACAATGGACAGCATGGCCATGGAGGCTTTCTGCATCATGGACTCTCTTGCTTCGGCAAACGTGATTGAATCAATGTACCCTGTCAAATGAGGAGGAGGAATTGTCGTCGAGTAAATAATACGGTACTGAAAAACACACAGTTATGTTATTCCTTATGCTAGAAAGTAATGACAGTGAAATGTGGGCGTAATGTATTATATAATCTCATTCCCGTGAGATAAACTCAGTGAGAATTTTAGTGGGTTTTTATTGGTAATGTTCAAAAGGAAATGGTACAAACCTGCCTCCAAAACAGGTACAGTCTTGAAAGATCTAGGGCCCATATTATGAACAAGAGGTAGTAGACTCCTGGTTCCATGATTGTTGTGTATTTGAATTCGATCGTTTCTACTTTCGTTTATCCATTCGTGTATGTGGATGTTGTTTCTTGGTCCGCCTCTTCATACCTCCGTGCTCGTCATCAACGTCTGCTGCGGATTCTCTCACGATGCTCATATCTGAAATTAAAGGGCGACCTTTCTTGGCTCTCTATGGGAATCGAAAGCCATACAGTTGTCTGTATTGCCAGAAATAACTTGAAACCTACACAACTTAAAATTTAGAAAAATGTAAAGCCGCTTTTGCGGCTAAAGTGTTGAAGTCATTTATGTATAAATATACAACACCCACATGCACACAATTCGCACATGTGTTATTAAATGTTTCAAAAAAAAATTATGGCGGTTAATAATTTAAATACTTCCGCATGCGGGATCATAACAAAAAACAGGCAAAAAATCATCGTATATATATTGACATCAGGTTGAATTTTATATTTTGTTAAAATATCTTCTAATACGTCAGTTGTCTACAGTCAATCGTCAGCCCAAGTTGTCGTCACACGCAATTGTCTGCCATAGTAGTTGTCAATTATAGTTGTCATCAATTACAGTGGTTGTAATTCACAATTGACACCATAAGATTCCTTCACTTACTGTTGCCAACCAAAGTTGTTACTCACAGTTAAGACCAGTAAAAATTGTCGTCACTGTTGTTTGTCAGTCACAGTTATCGTCATTGACAATCGAGGGTAGTCAAACTTGCGTTCAATGAGTGTCGTAAGCCACAGTTGAGGCCACATAAATTTGTCACCCTGAGAGATGTCTACCACATTTGGCATCACTGATAGTTAAAGGTTGTCGATTTGTCGTCACAATTAGTTGTGTTGTTTCTGAGGATCGAGGGTAGGCAAACTTGTCGACACTGACAGATTTCAGCCACTGTAATCTTTACTGACAGTTAAGGCTGTCGACACTGACACTTGACAGCCAAACGTTTGTCACCAGCCCCAATTGTCGTCACTGACAGTTGTTAGCAACAGTTTTCTCCAGTTACATATATCATCAATATCATTGACGTCCGCCCCCGTTGTTTTCGTTCAGTTGAGGCCAGTTAAAGTTATCGTCACTAATGTTGTTGTCAGTTTCGATAGTTGTAATTTTTGATATTAACAGTTTTACAGTTATCATCCACAAAATTTTCATTTTTTTAAATTAAGCTATAGTTGGTTTACCACAACCTGCAATATCCTTAATCAATTTACAGTCGGCTACCATGAATTATTGGTATGATAATGGTTTACCTACTGACAAAATAAAAATAATTATTTTTTAATTATCTCTTTACGCTTGTACTCTCGTAAAATATGTTATATGTCATTTACACGGATAGTAGTGTTACTGTGTAATTTACAAAAATAAATTTAATAAATAATTTTATTGTAAATTTGTTTACAACGAAATTACAATCACGATGATTATCATCTATTTTTGTACAAACAGCTTTCCTATTAGACTTCCTACCATTGGTAAATAAACACAAAATAACTACACAGTAAATCAATTTTATCTACATTATGAAAGAAAAGTTAAATAAATGAACTTTATTAATAACAGGAAGACTAACAAATGTAGCTAATACATTTTCAAATGAAGCTTAACAAATTAAAACATACAATGTAAGGGTATAAAATATAAATATCAATTGTAAATGGCCGGCCATTTCAGTACCTCACTATAATCTTCGCAATCAGCTAAATTTGGTGTTTGGTTGCTAAATTACAACTAAATGAAAGCTCGTTTTGTTATTTTTAGATTTATATTAAATATTAATAGATTACGGCACTGATTACAAGAACTAGCCATGCGAGACTAGTCGAGTAACCGACTGGAGCGGATGACGATTCACTACACACTACTTCACGATCACAGGACTCAGATTTGATTGCAGTTTGAAAACTGTTGTAAATGTCGTTCCAATTGCATAGGCCAACTTTGCACCCTTTGTAGTCAACCGGGTGGTCATTTAGGTAGAACATTAATTGATAATTAACTCCAAAGGTACACCTATAAATTTATTTCGATGGTTTGGATACTGTTATTAAGTATCTTAAAGCAGTAGATTTTGTTTTAACCTACTTACTTATAAAGCACAACAGCAAGATTGGCTAATGGAGGAGATATCACAGACAGTCGCCACTGCCTTTCATTCAAAAGGGGTCCCGGTTTAGGTGAAAGCCCACGCCCGTCGTCATCTTGAACAATACCCAGCCCGGTCAAAATATACCGGAGAGTCGTGACATCGCCGAAATATAGTACGCTTTGAGGCGAAGTCCCATTGACAGTGTTGTTGCTAAAAAATAAAATAAAAATGACCAAAAATAAACTGTTAAGGGAATGAGGACGAGGCAAATGCACTGTTTCACTACATTACTTACTTATTAAAATCGTCATTTTCGAATATTAGTCGGCTTAGGATGAAGGGTACAACAGCACAGATTTAGGATTAGGATGGTTTAAAGTAGTGAAAGAAGAGGGATAAATTAAAACAAATACGTGAAACGAATAATTATGCCTTAAGAGTGTGAAGTAATGATTGTGTGGTTTATGTATATCTTTTCTTTATGTTTACATGATTGTACACCTGTTTTTAATAAGAATAGCCAGCTTCTCTGGTAGTAGCAGTTAATTGATGTCTTCGGCCATACATATTTGTCCCTCGTAATAGACGGATATTAGTAATACAAACTGGGATAACACATATTCCAACTTATGTCTAAGATGTTATACAAAAGAAATCATGTTATGGACAACATGGCAAAATCCATTGGTGCAACAGTTCCTGGGATCGAAAAAAGTGTATATTCCAAAATCACAACGGCTGTCCACTTGCGATGTATTTCAATTTCTTCGGCTTTAAACAACAGAGCTTCGAAATCATGACGATATCCATGTAAAATCGCTAAACCATGTTTCCACCTTAAATTTTAGGACTGGCAAAAGCTCATAGCTTCATCACTCTTGATACCATCCATCCGTACCTTCCCTGTTCCTTTATCTACTTTCCTTTTTTAGTAAGTTGTTCAGTAAAATAAATAAACTTGCAGTACAAACCCGTGCGATATTCTTATATGAACGTCAATATGACCTGAGCTATACTGAAACCCTGACGTTTAGACACGGAAAAATATTATACAGCTTGTATCAAAGCTACCGCTCACTCAACAATGTTAAATATTGTTCAAAAACACTGTATTACCGTCTGTACTAGGTTTTACGTTGTATGTATATTGTCATTGTTGAGTACAATGTAAGTTTTTAGTAAGTAGACAAGTACTTGTTTTTCAAAGAACACAGTTTTCACTACCATACTAAATGGTTTATGTATGAAAGTTATGAAACCAAGATTTTTATTTTAAGAAGGGCTTGACTATTCGTGGTCAAAAGGAGAGGTTAAGGAAGAAATTTGAAGTGTAGTCTCCTTTGAACTTACTAAAGCGTTTCCATGAGATTTTTTAGCAAAGGACAAGCCATATCATCTACCAACGGGTTTCCATAGCCGGATAAGTAGAAAGAGTACAGATCCTCGTCGTACTCCAACACCTAAACCAAATCAGATTATTTGTAAAGACAATCAAATTATAAATCTAACACAAAAAAAAAACATTACTTTCAGATGTTCAGGCTTGAAAGCAGCGCACCAAGGGGAGTCCGTGAGATTGGAGAACATTCGGTCCAATCTGCACATTTTGTACATTGCCTCGATATCGGCTTGAAACGAAAGCATGACGTACATGAATAATTAAATAATTATCTTTAAAATTTATGGACAAGTGTAATTACACATCGCTAGTCCTCCGAACTTCGGGAAGCCAAGCCTTTCGTTGATTTCTTTAAGCATCTGGCTCACCTCTGGCCCCCTTCTAAATTCATCTCGCTTCTCATTTGCCTTTGCTAGTTGACTCTGGTCCCATTGCGAGCAATTGGTCGTGACGGGCTAAATACAAAACTGTATCAAAATTTATAGAAAAAAGATTATTCACAAATACTAAAATAAATTGATACCACAAAGGAAAGTTATCAAATTAGAAAGTACCTAATTAGAGTCGTAAAGGATAAGATGATTTATTGTACTATTATTATGACAGTGTCTGATTATTCATTAAGTTCCGAGAAATATCTAGAGATAGTAACTTAACATTCACACTTTTCAAACAAATCCATCGTCCTTTTTAATGTTTTAAGAGCTAGGTTATGTTTAAGGGTCTATGTAACGTTCCACTGTTTAATCCTCGATTTCTTTTTATTTACAGTAAAATGGTAGAAAAATAGCAGTAGGTCTCGGTCTAAAAGTACTAACGGAAATTCAATTTGCATTACGGTACTTTTCGGTTATTTTGATCTGCCTATCCTCACTATTTTCGTTTGTCGAACGCTTTTCAGCTTCTGGCGTTTTTCAATGGTGGATCTGTATCGGTGCCTCACTATGATTATACCCCTGACCATTTTAATCATATATGTGCTGTTAATGCAGGGGGAAACGCTGAGACCACCATAATAGCGACAAACGTTATCTTTGTTTTCAATCATGTAAATACCGAATGAGCGTGACTAAGCGGACCAAAATGTTCAAAATACCGAGGGTATCCGACAAAATTGTTTAAATATAAACTAGTTTTACCGCCACCGGCGTCACAGACTCATATATGGTCGACACGTTGAATCCAGCTTTGTTCATCCCATTTTTAAATTCTTCGTATGTTTCCTTGGAGTTTTTCCTCGGAGAGATCCGTACCTTGAAAAAAAGACAGAAAACCCTTTTTCATTATTTATGTCCAACGGTTGATCTACGATAAGGCAAATTACAAATATTTCCTCATACGCGCTTTTGAAAATTTCAGGGTAGCGGTTAACGTAAATCTGCCCAAGATTGTTTATAAAGCTTTTGTATTTTGGCTCCAACGTTTCAGGGGGCCAATTGCGTAAACCGTCGGTCCAATTTTGTATGGCGTCAAAATCCTCGTGGCAGAGTTTATCTTAAAAAAAAAAATAATCCGCTTTATTTCCTTAATACTACTACAAACTATAGATTGTGTTTACTTCTTTTTTCACTGTTATTTAGAATAATGCCCTGTTGTAATTGCATGAGTGCTATAGAATTATAGTCAGACGTGTCGGGATATGTAGCTCCATTGGATATAAACGACCACAGGGCCACTGGAGTGCATTCTGAAATAAAACAATAATCCATTATATTTCGTGTTCCGATTGACCAAATAACTTCTTTCAATTAATTAACCTTTTTGTAAGGTATTGGTTGAAATGAAAAAGTCAGCGTCACGAGCGGGATTCGAACCCACGACCTTCGGCTCAATACGCTGCTGCTCTAACCACTTGAGCTATCGTGACTTCGATCCACTCGGACACCAACTTCCCATCTCAACCTACGTTTCCCATTTTCCCTCCTTTTAGCCATTTTTCAAATGTCGTACAAGTGAGTTCGAATCCCGCTCGTGACACTTACTTTTGCATTTCGACCAATGCTTTACATAAAGATTAATTAATTGAAACAATAACGTTAAGAAAATATAAATGAACAGTTTTCGTGAAATACCTCAATTATATGCGTTTCCTTCATAAAAAGTTCAACTTACTTCTTGTCTGTAGTATTAGAGATTAAAAAAAAGTCCAATACCAATGTTCGGGGCCACCAATAACTGGGCCGTTTTCTATATTTTGGCCTCGTCTCGCCGCTATAATCTCAAACTTAATCAAGTACCTTTTACACAGTTTTTTAAAATATTTTTTTGATTTGACACCGAACACTATTTCATACATGCACACATTCATTAAATCTGTAATTCACGACCACTACATTCGCTCACTTACTCGTATTCATTCACCATCACCCATATATTCAATAATTCATTCATTAAGTTACTCACATTCATTACTCATTCACAACACCCATATAGTCAGTCATTCATTAGCTCGCTCACCCATACTCACAACGACATTTTTATCTCTGTCAGTCACCATCATCCATATTTCAGTAATATTCATTACCTCACCTACTCTCATTCACACACTCACATTATTCACCTCATTCTATCACCACCATTCGTTCATCATCTCGATATTTTAATATATACAACACACACACATTATCTCTCTCATTTACTCACTCTTTCATTCATTAATTCTCTCCCTATATCTATCAATTTATTTATTTATCTATATATTTATCATACCAAATTGTCATACGCATACACTCATTCATTCGCTGACGCACTCATACATTCATAGACTTCACATTCATTACCTTCTCCATGCACCAGCCATCCATTTTACCATTCACACACTCACTCTAGTTGGTTTTGCTAAAAATGAATTACGGTATGTTTTTAGGCTGTAAACACAATTTATTTGGGTGCGTCATCGATTTCGCATTAAAGGGGAAAGTGCATTGGTGAGTTTAGGTTAATGTAAGGCATTGGTTACGTTAGGTTAAGTAGGGTTATGGTTAGGGTTAAGTTTACTGTCCTAAACAATGCCATCCCATGCCGTTAATTTTTTAAACATGAAAATGTGGTAGCTTAAAACCATTGGTGATTGATGGTTTTGAGCTTCTTTAATTTTGAATTTGAAGTTTGCAGGCTTTTGCTTATATTTTTTCTGAGTCTGTTCCTTAATTTGCACACTTTTCATCTAAAAATATCTTAGATATAACTTTCACGTTTTGACGTCTTAAAGTGAAGGTGATAAGCTATTCGTTAGTTGGGACCCGTCCTTTTCCCATGATTTTCTTTAATTTTGAGTGCCTGGCGTGTTCGGTTTATATCCTTTCTGGGCATCTTCTGTGCCTTTAGCGATACTACTTGTTTTGTCGATCGGACGATGATCATAAAGGCGCGCCCCTTGAACAATCATTGGTCGGGGAAGACTGTTAACAGCAACTTTGATAAAAATTAGTAATCGTCCTAAGTCCTTCAAAGGGGGCAGGAGAGGCCAAGGGGTCAGAAACTGTCTACAAGGATAACCGAGTTCTCAAGGAACTAGAACGCGGGAAGTAGTGCACATTGTGCCGGTTATTGTAAATAAAACCACACGACGTAGACTTCTGCCGATAAGAAATAAGTAACCTGTTTATTCCACCATTAACGAGTAATGATGAAAATGGAGCTCTTTAATAGTTTCTCCAATTAAAAGAAACTCGAAAAGGAACAGAACATATTTTATCCAAAAGATGTCCGCGTCTGTTTCCTTAGTAATCATCGCACCAACTCCAGAGCAATCCGTATGAGGAAGACTAGTTTTACCCCGTCTGGAAGCAAGGAGAAAGTGATAGGTCCGTTAACCCAACGAACAATTGCTAAGCAACGTGTGTTCTCCGGAGGAGAGAGGGGTAGTCATCACATAACAGAGCGCATACTAAGTGGGCGGTGTAGGGATACAACTTACTTCACTATTTAGCAACTAGTTACTTTTGGATTTATTAAGAAATCGTATGTTAAAAGTTACTCTGCACTTCATATTATATAAAAAATAGAAATCACTTTCTTTTCAGATGCTTAGAAGGATTGTTAGAAAGTGTTGAGGAAGCTACTGGAAATAAGAGGTTTGTCGTGATGGGTGGGCAATGGTGAAGTACCATTGCTTTTGCGTTCTTGTCAAGTCTTTAGCAAAGAGTTAAGATCGGTATGGATCTTAGAATACAAAAGTAGAACGGGACATCGTCTAGTTTCAGAAGAATCTTGCATAGTAGAGTTTGAATTTTGTAGCATTGGACTGAACTCCAGAGGTCATGTCCATAAGTCCATGCCGGGTTTAAGTGTTTTAGTATATTATTTAAGGACGGTCTCCTGAGAAGTTTCACATCAGTCAAATGCTTTGTTTCTATTAAGATTGATGAAGTCGTATAAGAATTTTTGAATGAGATCGAATCTGGATCCTTATCACAGATCCTTATCACAAAGATATCTGATACCTTTGGTGGAAGAGAAAGATGTCTATGTTGTAAAGAAGAAAAAACGAGCTGAATGAACCATGTGTTAGCTAATAATTAATTAACTGGCTTAATAATATCTAATTAGATTATAAATATTCAGCAATTGAAAAGGTTAGCGCTAAACGAATTTTGACGTTGCAATGAAACTAATGACGGTAATTTATGATTAAAACTCATCCGTGACCTTTTCGGTTTGGAATCCTCTTAATAATAGTCCCATAAAAGGAGGAAAATCGATACCTAGACGTCAGTAATAATTGTGCCGACTTTCGACATTATCCGTCTAAATTTAGTTTGTTTTAATAAACCGAAGAATTTCAAAAAAGATAAAATAAGGCCACAGATATTATTTTTGTGAATAGATTTTTAGCAACAGCCCAATTTCAAAATGTTCAACTGATCGACAATTTATCACTTTAATGGGCCCATCTACTTTTACTCAAACTCGTTTCAGCTTTAGCCAACTTAGTGAGGAACCAACAACAGGGAAAGTAGACTAATTTAGCAACATTATATAGTGTCGATATGTTGAACACATGTTCACTGGCAGACCATCAACCACAAACAAAGTTCTAAGGTCTATGGCATACGTAGATGTTTGGACCGAAGCGTTTACCGAAAAAAAACCGAGTAGGTGGGTCGTTTCTTTCTTGAGAGTGGGACATGACAGACGATGTGCCTATCGCCTGTGGTTTGGAAGCATACATTTACATATTTCCTGGAATGGTTGTGCACCATCTATTTTCGATTTTGTTTTTATGTTGCATTTTTTGCATTTATTTATTATTTTATTTTCTACATGAACCACTATTGTATTAATGTAATATAGATACATTATTAACCTTTCCATCATATTATATATCTTATTTATAAAAGTAATTTATTACAGTGTCCTTTTAAGATGGTCCGGCTGAATTTCTCTTGAACCAATGACGCTATCAAAAACATGAAAATACGTGTTTAACATTTTTTAGACTAGATTCAAATTTTTACCTTTATTGGAGAAAAATTATACAGGCCCAGTTCAACTTCATAATTTCACCTGACAAATCTTTTTAAAGGATTTTTTACGTTGAAAACAATGGTGCAATCGGATTTTAAATTGGTCAAAGAATGACAAAATTATGGAAAACAAACAGACATTTGGTTTGCTATTTATTAATCACATTTCTGTTCGAACTGACTGCTTTCCGTTAAGTGCAAAAATTTGCTCTTTTTAACCACTCCTTCACCTGTGCTCAGAGCGGTAGAGTCAGGGGAGATGGATTGACAAGCATTTTCTATCCTTTGCCGCAGTTGTTTTTTAAATGCCCTCACAGAAAATAGACGAGTGGAGTTAGTTTCCTTAGTTCATTTACGTGTCCGTACGGTCAAGGATATAAGCGGGGAGAAGCACAAGAAATCCGACAATACCCAATCTTATGATTAAAACCTTGCCAAAAAGTAATTGGTCCAAATTATAAATCTACAACTTTATATTGTAGACCACCTACTTCCCATCGAGATGGAAGCATGCTGAGATCATAAACGAACTATTTACGTATCACATGATTATCTATCATCATTATTTTACGAAAGCCTGCATTCTATCTTCGTCTCAGTTATACAAACTTTTCGTTTGGTTTTTGTACAACTGAACAGCATATGATGCTTTCCTATCACCTATCACTGTGCGTATCAAATAAAATATGTCACGTATACCGACATTTTACTGAAAACCTTTTACAATAGTTTATTAGTTGTAAGAAAGAATAATTAGTATTCGTATTGCGTCTCTTGGGAAACGTGAGGTTAGAGCTGACCTAAACAAACAGATCATGGCTCACTTTTAACATTTCTTCTAAGTGAGTGTTGAAAAAGCAGAACTTTCTGCTAGACCTTTCACCTTTTTAGTCACAAATTTTTCGCACGCTTACTTGGCAACTTAGTGGGAAGTCTTTGATTCCGAACGTTCTCATAGGACGTCAGCTCTCCGAAGTACTCGTAGCGTTCGTTGTCCTCAGCTAAGCAGTAATAGGTGTCGTCTTGAGCAGAACGAATACCACCCAGCAGGAGTGCAGCGACGAGGAACCAGATCGCCAACATCCCTGCCTGGACAGGATAATAAAACAGTAGTTATCATCATGATAAAGGTCACAGTTGACTAGTTTTGCTATTGAAATAAAAGGACTTATAAAAAATAATAAATTTGCCAACAGAAAGTTTTGATTTGCAAGCTTTTTGTTAAAATTTATATATAGCTTGGCCGTTTCTGATCATTTTGGCTGTTTCCGACCTGTCAGCTTTTACCTCTCTTCAGTGGGTTTTTGATATATCATTAATAGATAACAGACTCGAAAAGACGAAACGCGCGTAATTAACTAGGCCAAAACTGCGAGACTACACGGCCCAGAATGACTAAAATCGACCTCAGGTTCAACACTCCACAGGCATCAAAAATAAATCATTTAGCCCCATTTGCAAACTGTAGGTGATAATTTCAGCTAATAATGTAAATAAGGGTTTCTTGTTTTTCTCGAAGCATATTTAACACTGATTCGAGGTTTCCCCCCACCAGTAATGAACTCATTTATTACGTCATGTTTGACCAGTTATTTATAAAATCAATATAATTAATAACAATAAAAAAATATTCAGGATGTAAAAACTGTCTGTAAAATGAAAAATCAATCCAATCCTACCCACCTTGGCAGTTTGGTCAACATTGCTAGATCAACACGCCAAACATCCATTTTCGGTTAGTCTACTTAATCGACGATAAAGTTTTCCACGTTTTGTTTATTTTGCACAAGCGATTGGTCGTAAATAAAACATTCCCCCTGATCGATTAAGCCTTGCAGTTCGACGATAAGAACAATGTAAATTTTATATACATGTTTATATATTTTTAAATGTAAAACTTGCTTATCTACTTAAAAAACATTGTAGATTTAGTAGTTCGGCCATTCATTTCTGCAATAGTTTTTTTAATAAACTTTTCTCAATACCTCTATTCTGGAATACATTCCCGTTTAATAGAGGACGCGGACGGAAAACAGTCGGCTTACACTTTCTAACATGGATATAATTTTAGGCTGGAATCAGAAATTTCTTTTGGCTAGCCGTTTTTGCGTCATCGATTCGTGTTACCGAGATTATTGGTTGGGTTAGGTTAGGGACAAGTATGTTATGTAAGGTTACGGGTAGGAACTATGTAGGGGTTAGTCTTACGGTTGGGATAGGGTTTGGTTATGTAACTTAATACTCACAATAGCAATATCAAAATTTACATCCAAATATACAGAAATCCCAACACAGCCGACATCATAACGGCACAATTTAAACAGTTACACCAACCGAAAATTGCTCCATACACATGAACCGCAGATTGAAAACGATTCCATCTAACGCAAAAAACTATAACAACAAATATAAACAATAACAAAAATAGGATTAAAAACGGATACATAAAATTTTAAAGAACAAAACACCGTAAAAACGAAACACAAACAACAAAAGGTCAATATTCTAATACGGAGAAAAAAAGAACTTACAAACTAACACTTACTCAACAAAATCGAGTAAAAACTGCACTAAGGAACAATAAAAACATAAGCAGACTATTAAAGAGAAAAATAGACAACAAGACAATAACAGTGTTTATAGCTACATATCAATGCAGAGGTATATACATCGGACAGACTGGAAGCAAAATAAAAGATAGGTCCAATGAACATCTCAAACTCTTCAGAGACGGTGGAGAATCAAATTACGCCACCTACTTAATACATCACAACCAAACACATTAGAAACAACCATTACTTTAATAATCAACGAACAAAAAGGCCGAAAACATACCCTAGAACTTGGAGATATAAAACAAATATCTGTTAAAGAAAGAAGCTTTTAAATGCACAGACAAATTCACATTCACACCGCTAGAAACAAAAGGTTAGGTAGAGTTATGGTGAAAGACTGGTTAGGTTAGGTTCAGTAGGGTAGGGACTGGTTAGGTTAGATTTAATAGGGTTACGGTTAGGGACATGTTATATTACGTTCGTAACGGTTATGGTTAGGGACGTGTTAGATTATATTGGGTTAAGGTTATGGCTAGGGGCGATAAGGTTATACATTCATGATTCAATGTTTGTCCATGAAGTGGAGGAAATATACGAGTACGAGCACTTGTTTTTAATATATTTTTATTGTTAGAATTTAGCATTGTTAGAAAGTTCATACGCCCACCATCTATTTATTTGAGCAGGATACAAAATTTTTCCTCGTCAATTAGTTTCGGTTAATGGGGAACATGCATGGATTGAGTTGGGTTAGGTTAGGTAGATAGGGTTAGAGTTACAGTCAGGGAGGAGTTAGGTTACATGTCCACGATTCAATTTTTTTCCGTGAAGCGGAGAAAATATGCACATGCGAAGGACGAGTTTTAAATATTTTTTATAATTATAAATTTAGCATTGTTAGAAAGTGCATACATCCACCAAAGAGCATTAATCCATTTGATCACTCTAAGTGATTTTTCTAATGTTGAATTAATGTTTTACGACTTTCAAATATGGATATGTTATTGAGCAGGATACAACTATTTCGCGTAGTAGGAGTAGTACGAGTAGTAGGGTAAGGGCTAAGGACTGGTTCGGTTAGGTTTAGTAGGGTTACGGTTTGGACGGGTTAGTTTGTTTAGGGCTGAGGTTACGGTTAGAGAAGGGTTAAGGTTGCATTAAGATTGAAGTTATTTTTAAATGTTAGAAATTTACCATTGTTAAAAATTTTAAATTATATTATTAAAACACTTTGATTCCACCATATATTTTAAAAATTTTGGTTTTGATTAAAAATAATATAAAATGAGGAATAATATAAAATATTTATTTTGATCTAGTGATATTTCAGGTTTCATCGACTTTCGTATCTTTCTTAGTTGTTTATGTGATGAGTTACAAAAAAGAAACCTAAGCTCTTAACAAAGATGATCTTTGAATTTAAAAAAAGTGATTCATCAGATTATCTGAATTCCACTCGCATGTTTCAGAAATAATAGTTGCATCTGTGAAATTCCAGCGGAAATTTTTATTTTGGGAAATGAAGTGTTAAATTCTCACATCTACTTGGGTTTAATTATTTAAAATTTTTTTATAAACCATCAGCTACTTAATTCAGAGCGAACCTTTTCTTAGTTCCCAGGCAAAAACAAAATCGAACAAAATTGATTGAGCAGGTAAAATTCTATCTTGAATAAAACATCAGTCAACCTTGCAAAAGTATTATTGATCGTGTCAATGAAAAATCAAAGAATCATGGCCCGATTTACCTTTCCCTGTCATACGATCCAATAACGATATTGAAAAAAAAAAATCACTAATCTTCCAATCGTCGAATCGCATTAAATTTATTGGCCGTTAAAAACAGGACGAAAATATCGATATAAATGACATCTAAGAACCCGTAAACCATGTGCGGTTAATCTGGTAAAATTTTGCCTTGTCTATAATTTCCTGTTTATACAGTAAGCATCAAAGAATCCCATTTTTAGCAAATGTATCTATAATGAAAAATATATTTTTCTTAGACTTCTGAGGACTGCATATGGTTCTGCCAAAAAATGACCTCGAAACAGTACCATTCCACACGGATGCATGCATACATTCAACATAAGATAATCTGCCGATATATCGATCTCCGATAGTTACAGAAATAATATGAGTAGTGATCCACATGTTCACTTTCTTACAAGAATGATTGTACTCCTCAAAATTAAAAATTAACAAATAAGCCGATTAAATTTAAGAATTGATGCTGTAGTAATTGACAAACGTCTCTTTTATGCTTAGATTGTCCATGTAAAACTATTCTAATCTTCTTTGAAACACGTCGGTAACAGCCTACGTTTGTAGCTTTATGGAGAATCCATTTACAGGCAGACATTAAGAAAAACATTAACGGCATCAATAAATCTAAAATGGCTAAAAGGGTGGCAATTTCAATTTTCTTTTTCATTTTGATCTTTCTCTGCATATTTTCTTCGTAGACTATTTCAAAAAGACTTTTTTTCCTGTTTCAACTATAAAATTTCCTTATGGAGAAAACTACATATTCAATTATAATAATTTATTTTAAAATGTAATTCTTGTAAAGATCTTTACAGACCATATTATTTATATACAAACAATTCCTTCTTGCATGCCAAATCTTTGAATTTGATTCGGCCTTTTTGATTTGATTTTACATAAAGAAAAAACAGTGACAATGCTGATTTTTTAAAAGGGCGTTGATAAATATTTGGCTTGTTAATATTTTTGTGGTAGTACCAGAGACATAACGGGTACTTACTAGTCTGTAGTCGATGGAGCGAGTCAACTGATCTCGAAACCGGGACGGACTCGCGGTGTTCGTTCGGGTTTTCGTCGTCCCGATGCGAACGTTGCCGATTTTTAACGGTGTCGTCCGATAGACGCAGAAGAGATTCGGCTTCCGCTTTTTTATAAAACTTAAAAGCCTTTGGTACACCTATTTTCGCTTTTTTTCTTTTGAAACCAAGTTGGGATCAAATGAAAATATGGACAAAACTGGCGTTTCACACTTGCATATTTTGCTCCGCTACATGGAAAAATGTTAATTATCGATATGTAATCTAATCCTCACTCAACCAAATCTAACCCGTCCCTAACTGCAATACTAACACTACCTTATATAAACCCGTCGCATTCCTACAATGACATGGATTGCCGCTAAGAAAGGATTTTTCATCCATCCCTAGGGGGATCATATGGGCAATTTTTTACCATATATGAACAAAGTGAATTGAAGAAGAAGAGAAGAATTTGAGAAACGAGACGTTGTATTAGAATGCCATACTATGATGCAAACGGAACCCTTTCCATAGTACTCGCTTCGGCGGTATACATGTACTAAAATTAGAACGATACAGAGTACCCGTTATATCCTAAATGAAGTACAAGATGTTTTGGCAAGGCCTTTATCGACACAAACGATCCGTAATCGTTTATGGGAAGTTGACCTCACATCATATGCCCCTTGGAGACGACCTGCAGCAACAGCCCGCCACCAACTCAGGAGAATATGGTGCAGCGAGCGCCTAAAAGAGAACAACAATTGGAGTGTTATGTTTATTGATGAGTCCCGTTTCTGTCTGTATTGTGTTTGCAGGCGCCAAAGGGTCTACCGAGACAGGGTATGCCCCAGTTCGTGCTCCCTTCAGTGCAGTTTGGGGGAGGCGGTCTAATGGTATGGGCTGGCATTTAGACACTGGAGCTCGAACTGGACTCCATATTGGTGAAAACCTCAGTCCGTTACGTCCAAGAAATTATCGAGGAATACATCATTCAAACCGGAGTCTCATTGGCACGTATTTTCGATTTCTGGATGATAATAATAACCAGATCTCAGTGGCAGAGTTGTTCATCAATGTTTAGAAAACCCGAGAATTTCCCATACGCCCCTTCTCCATTGTCTCCAGACCTCATTCTAATTGAGCACATGTGAGATGCGTTGCAGGGAAGGTTTTTTTATCACAATCCGCTGCCAGTTGACCTGCAACAACTGAGTGCAGCGTTGCAACATCTACGGAGTGAAATTCCTTATGAAAGTAGTGACAATCTTATTATCAGTATGCCTAACAGGTGCATCGAGGTTTTAGTTAACAGAGGACATTATTATTGAAGAAGTTATTAGTAAGAAATTATTATGTCCAATAAACAATATTATGGAATTAAAACCTTTTGTTTTGTTATTTTTCATAATCCCTTAATTAAATTTTCCTTCAGTAAAAACAATAATTTCTAATAAATTTTAGTGCAATATACATTGAAAATGCTAGGGGAAATAAATACTACAAAATTGGCAATATCCCTACTCATTTTTGAGCAGTTTATAAAGATCAGGAGTGTCTGGCGCTACCGACCAAATTCAGCGGTAGAGTAAGCAAATGCAGCGACAACTGTGTCAAATAAATTTCTTTTTCGTTACTAGAGAGTTGGTTTTATGTGTGTTTCTTAATGACCTGTTGTTTCATAATTTGTTGAAGTCGTGAGGAGGGGTCAAGAATGAGGTTGTTTAGAAAAACACCTTTTTCATTTTTTTCCCTACGTTTCGACCTTTATTCGGGGTCGTCTTCAGGGCCTGGGTAAATTACAAAACATACGTTGATTGGAAAAAATACAATTTAAATATAAATTTTGAACCAAGAATTTCATACTCACATGTGTGTTGCTATTCTTGTGGTGTCATATTGGTGTTGTGTGAATGTGGTGTGAAACGTGATTTGTATTGTGCTGTTTTTATAAGTATGTGACAGGGTGGGGACGCGGTAAATCTGGAAAAATTGGTTTGATCACAGGCGGTTTTATTTAACTCAAAGGAAGTCGAGAATGGGGATTTTCTGGATTGGATTTGTGATTCGGCATTCAATATTGGAAGTTAAGGACGATAACGAAGGAAAAGTCAAAATAAAATTAAGGTTTAATAGTTTATGTGCTTTATGATTTTGGCGTAGCTACGGCTGAGATTCTATATAACTGTTTTGTAATTAATGCTGTGTGTGTCTGTAACTGTAAACCATTTCTAGAAAGTAGCGTTTGTATGTGTTTTGTCCGTGTTTAGTATTTGTATTTTGAGGAAATCAAAGTTGTGTTGTTTTTCAAAGTGGTGTGTGGCCGGCCAATGCTGTGGGATTGATTGATTTTTGGCGTTTCACACAAAACCAATATTACACCACACTTTATGCGAGTATGAAATACTTTGTTCAAAATTTATATTTACATCTCGAATTATATTTTTTCCGATCAATATATGTTTTGTAATATACTTAGGCGCTGAAGATGACCGGAATAAAGGTCGAAACGTAGGCAAAAAATGAAAAAGGTGTTTTTTTAAACTGCCTCATTCTTGACCTCTCCTCACTACTTCAACAAATTAGTTGGTTTTATTTTTAGCAAGTTTTCTTTGAACTTTCCAAGAGATCGCATAGTTTTATTAAGTGCACTACTCCTTGACAAATTGACTTTACCGGTACAGCTGAGAGGTATGCCCAAGTAAGTGAATGATTTTACGCACTACAAATGTGACTCAAAATATAAAGTTCTTAACTTCGTACAGTTTAATTTCCGGAGTATCCTTCAAGTCCTTTCTTTGTCTATCCCTTACTTCTATATTTTACCTTAACTTGTCCTGGGCGTAATCTTTCACTGAAGTTTTGGTCTTCATTGCCGTGGGGGGGGGGTTTACGCCACCTTTGAACCTCAAACGTGGGGGGACGTCGAATCAAGTTAGCCATGTTTTTGAATTCTTACGATTTAGTTGATAGTGGTTTTTTCACTAAGTTTAAATTTTTAAACGGTCGTTACGTTTAAAATGTCGTTACGCTTATTCGGGGAATAATTACGTGTCCTGTGCTTCGTCATCATGGATTGTCGAAAATTCGAAGGTAAGCTCCATCGTGAGGTAACCGTTTTCCATCCAGTGTTTTCTTTTATTAATTTCTACCTTTTCTTCTTTCCCCCCAGGTTCCTCGAGGATGAAGAAAATCGACGAGCGGAGGGTGAGTTAATTTAATATAATTTTATTGTATTTTATTGGTCGTTTATTATACACTACTACATTGCCACAAGTACCAATTAAGCACTTGCCTTAATATAAATAAAGAGCTCTTCGTTATGCTTAAGACAAGTACCGCTGAGTGTATCCTTCAGGCCTTGACTTTTCCTCTCCCAGAAGTAGGATGATGGATGTTGATGACACGGTGTCAATTTGCATAAGCGATCAACATCAACACAAGATGTTCCATTTTTTCTTATTCCTGGCAATATGCTGCATATGCTTATTTCTTCTGATCGGAGTTTATGCATGCACTGCCGGTCAAAAGTTTAGGATCACCTCAATTTTTTGTCATAAAAGAATGAAAATAAACTTTTATTAAAACAATGACAAGATATCTTGGAAATAAATGTACATAAAATGATATACAGCAATGGATTAATAGTAGCATTGTAGAAAAAAAATTCATTTCAACAGTAATTGAAAAAAGTAATTTGGTCAATCAGACACTAAATAAAATGAGGGTACAAAAAAATTGATCTATAGGTTTTATTTTCGTCAAAAAATCCCCCCTTGTTTTTCAAGACGGCTTGGACTTCTTGTGGCATTCTTTCTATAAGTTTCTCTAATTTTTCAAAAGTCATGTTATTCCAACAACTTCGGAGGAGCTCCCAAAGGTGTTTTTGTGAAGTTGGAGCATGAGTTCAGACGTTCTAATCCGATTCTTCCCACACCAATTCAATTGGATAGAGATCCGGAGAATGAGTTGGCCAAGTCATGTTCTTCAAAATGCCTTCGTTTTCTTGTAAATAGCCTCAACAAAGTTTGGAAGAATGTTTAGGCTCATTATCTTCTTGCATAATAAAACCAGAACCGATTAAATGAAAGCCAGAAAGGATTGCGTGGTCTTTCAAAATGTCTGACCCTCTCTTTGTTGAGTATTTCTTGAATTTGTATGAAATCTTGTCCGAAACACCCCTATACAAAAACTGTACCTCCCCCATGCTTAACAGTCGGGAATATGCACTGAGGGATAAACTTTTCTAATGGCGTATGACGAACCATAATCCTGTGACTTATCCAAAACCTGAAACTGATTCGTCGTCGGTCTATGGTACTTTTCTCCAATCCTCCACTGTAAAATTCTTGAGCAAGTGCCCACTGATACCTTTTCTTCTTATTAGTGCAAAAGTGGTTTCAGTGTACTGACACGCCCCAACAAGTTGGCCTACCTGAGTCTCCTTGTTACAGTTGAGACAGAAATTGATTTTTTGGTGATAGTATTAACATCAGCTCTAATCTGGGGGCCAGTGAGTCTTCTGTCCCTCTTGCTTTTCAAAATAATCAATTTATCTTCCTGGGTAGATGTTATTCTGGGTTCTTCTGATCGAGCTTTGTCATGATGAGAGAGTGTCATCTCGAAGCGAGCAATGGTTTATGTACTGTTGTTGAAATTTTTAGTTGATTTGGCTAAATGGCTTTAGTTGGGGGTTGTTTCTGGTCTGACAGTCATTGCTGTTTCTGCCAGGCATGTTTTGCCATTTTACCATCTTCTGTGATAGGTTTGTGTTTTCATAGTTGAACATACTTTTTATATCAATTAAATATTATTTTTATCTAAAGTCTTAGTTGAGATGAATGTCCTTCGGCGTGGTTTCGAATGTGACACTAACTTTTTCATCTTAACCAGGACCTTAGATAAAAAGTATATTTAACTGAAATAATTAATAGGATAAATTATGGCCACTAAATATTTTTATAGTATGTAATTTTAAGATGACTGAAGACTTGACAGACCAGCAAGACTAGGGAACAGTATGATTACATGACGACTATACTGCCTTTATAAGAAATTGGGGGGGGGGGGAAACTGCTACAAGAACAAGTAACACCAAATAAAGAAAGGCCACTGTCTGCCATGCTTGATGTTAAGATTAATATTATTACCAAACCTCTGAACATATATACATTCACACGCATACCATTACACAAGCACAAGCATGTAGTGAATCAGAACATTCAACCAAGTCCATAACCACCTTTGGTCAAAGGGTTAGTCAAAGTCAATTAAGGTTAAAAAGTGTTTTCAAGAAAAGATATGAGATAACATACCTCCTGCTTACAAACAACACAAATATATATTTCAGACATAACACCATTTTATAAACATATAATAAATATAGTTATACAATAATAAATCACAATTAGTGTAATGCTTTCTTTATTGCTAATTAACAATTCAGTTGGGTTGAAACGTTTGGTGTTTAATCAGGTTTCTGAAAACCCCATCTTTATTAATCAGTTCATCGTAGCTTCCAAGTTCGACTATTGATCCACCTTGTAATACTGCGATCTGATCTATCATGGAAATTTCAACATTAGTCTTTTTTTTCTACAAATAATACCAAACCCCCATATTTACCTGCATTTTTTATAGTTGAAAGTCTATGCGCTATTGTTAAAACTGTTCTTCCTTTCATTACCCTCTCAAGAGCCTCCTGGACTAAATGTTCACTCTCAGCATCAAGAGCGCTTCAATAAATAGTTAAGTTAGATATTTATTTTTATTATTAAATTGCCATTATTATGCTCACCTAGTTGCTTCATCCAACAGCAAAATCCTTGGATTCTTTAAATAAAACCATTAAGGTGAGGTTAGAGAACAATAAATATTTGCTTGAAATTATTACCTTTATTAATGCTCTTGCAATAGCTACTCTTTGTTTTTGCCCACCTGACAACATGATACCTCTCTCTCCGACTAAGGTGTCGAGACCATCTGACAATTCTTTGGTTACAAAATTAAAAGCGTTAGCTTCTTTCAATACTGCATAAAAATCTTCATCTTGTAAACTACTTGGGTTAACAGCTCCATAACCGATATTTTCCCTTATCGAACCCGAAAATAAAACTGGCTCCTTAAAATAGTGGTTTTATTTTTATTGCTTTCAGTTCTGAAATAGTTTTGTTGAATTTACCTGTGCGACAGTGCCGATGTGAGATCGTAGCCAGCACGGGTCGTAGTTTCCTACGGGTATATTGTCAATAGTTATACTACCATGATTTGGTACATAGAGGCCAAGCAGGAGTAAAGCGAGAGTTGATTTTCCTGATCCACTTGATCCAACGACAGCAGTTATTTTCCCACTGTTTAAACGAAGGCTGAGCTTGTTCAATACTTTTTGATCCGGTCTGCTTGGATACGAAAAAACAACATTTTCAAAATTTATCTCCCCTGTTGGCATTATTTTCGGCCTCAACCCACCTAAAAATACAAATACAATAAGCATTTTTGACTCCCCCCAACAAAGGAGAAAAAATTCCTTTCACCATATGGAACGATTTTGGGATCTCTTTCAATTAACTCCCAAAGTCTTGTTGAAGCACCGAGCCCTTTGTTAAGCTCAGAATAAAAACTACTTAGACCTCCAATTGAGATGCCGATGTAAGCTGCATAAAGCAAAAATGCCGAAAGCCCCCCGACAGTCAAAGAATTGTCGGAAACCATGACACCTCCACTGTACAGGACAATTAATGCGACAGCATTGCCTGATAAACCTGCCTGTAGTAATGTTAATTAATTATCAGAACATTAATTCATTTCCAAATCACTTTACTTACCATCCCAAAGAATATTCCTCTAGCTAATGACTCTCTCAACGCTAAAGCCAAAACGTAATTGAGTTTTTCATGGTATGCCTGGACTTCTCTTAGCTCCTTACTGAACGCTTTTACAGTTCTTATATTGGCGATTCTTTCCTCAGCTACTTGTGCTGCATCAGCTAATGCATCCTTGAGTAAAAATTAAAACATTAACATTGATTCAGCCACTTGCTAATCTAAATAAAAGTGCTTAACCAAAGGAAATTTAACTCAACCTGGAAACTACCAGAAGGAGTAAACTTACTTGAACTTTTATTGTCATCTTTTTAATAAATCTCCCGTATACAATGGCCATACCTGCTATAGGCGGAACAACGCACAAACTGATAAGTGCCAGAAAAGGTGACAAATAGAACTAAAAATAACAATAGATATTGATTTTTTTAAATTTAAATAATGTGAATAATATGAATGTGGCAAACCATCATTGACATCCCGGTGACCACCATTACTAAAGATCGTAACCCATCTGAGATGTTGTTCGTTACGCAGTTACTAACAACTAACGTGTCAGCCGTGAGTCTGTTAATGAGCTCTCCTGTCTTAGTTCTATCAAAAAAAGCCACTTCTTGTTTCATTATTGAATGAAAGACTTTTTCCCTGAGTGCTTTGGTTATTTTCTGAGCTAAACATAAAAATCCTCAATGCTATAAATTGTCAAACAGGACACGGGATAACCTGATCTACCTGAGACATTCATGAGGTAAACCCTGCCAAAATTGCAAAGCCCTCCAACGATAAAAACTGCGAGCAGAACGCCGCAGACAATATTTATGTTTTCCCTCATCTTCACTTTGTCGGAATTGTAAATGAGATCGATGACTTTCCCCAATGCAAAGGGAACAGACATTGTTATCGCCGATGAAGCCAAAAGGAGAATGACAGCCCCTGAAATCCTGAGCTGTTGTCAGTTTATTATTTTATTACAATCGGTATTTTCATTGATAATAATAGGCTATAAAATATAAAAAGCCTGCATAGTTGCAAACGAAAGTTGAAGAGAAATTCATGAAACTGTATAACTACTCTAAAATTCTTTTTAACAAAGCTATTTTATTTTTTATTTTTTAAACAATGGTTTCCTTTAAATAAGAATAAATTCATGACATTTACCTGAAAGATTCCAAGCCTCAGGCTTAGCCAAGAGCAATACTTTCTTCAGCTCGCTTTGGCTCACCTTTTTCCTCACTTTTGGCAGGTCTTTTAACCCTACTTCCATAGCTTTATCCGTGACAAAGCGTTTGAATTCATTGAAGCATTTGCCCGGAGCAAGGAATTGCCTCACTGAACCGCATCTTCCCGAGTGGACGGTGAAACAGTGCAATCTGCGAATGTTTGGGGGTAGCGACCTGTTGAGTCCATTGTATCTTAGGATTGTCAAAACAACTTGGGCTCTAGGCAAATTACCAAAGCAGACTTTTCTATTGAAGAACATTTTCTATGGGTAAATCCACCATAACGTTCAACAGCATGAAATCTGCAATTAAAACAAAAATTAATTTTAAAAAACAAAAAATAAGATGAATTGATCAACATTGGAGTTATTATAATTGATGCAAAATATACCTACCTATTTACATATAATAGACAGTTGTTTTGTTTATTTCTTTAATTCCAAAATTATATATTGTAAGGTTTTTTTTATTACCTTAATCAAGCAAAATTAGCATGCTACTTGAAAATCCCCCCTAATTTCAAATGTATATATATATTGAGTTAGCTTTAACACAATGTGTTAAGGATAAGTCCGTGGTTCAATTCCAGGATAGAGGCAGCCATAAAAGTTCATTAAAGGGCCATCGAAACTAATGGCAGAACTATTAAAACTAGGATGTGTTAGGACTAGTGGCACTGCTGGACACTGATGACTCCAATGGCCTATGTATTGACTCAGAGTAGCATAAACAAGCCTGTGCAAATATTGCCAGGAAGAAGAAGATACAACAGAACATGTCCTCTGTTTGGTACAAATCCAGAAAGAGATTCCTACTCATGGGAAAAGAAAAACCAAGGGTTTGGTGAGGGAGTCTACAGGATAAAAAAAACACTTTCAGTGCATATTTCTTGGTAACTGGGTAAATTAATAAAAATCTTAAATGACAGGGCAAAAAGTAAATTTGTATAGTGAACAAATAGACAAACTGGCCAGAAGAGGATCTGCAGATACTGTTGATTTATACCAATCTTACTCAGCCCATTCAGTCCACATCCTGTAAGGATTCAGAGTTTTTTCCTGCCTCCTTTGATACATTATTTTGCCTATTTCTTTTGGGGTTTTAAATTATCTGTGTCTAGTGAGTGAATTACACAGTTTTCTCACGTTACTGTCATCTTATCTAAAATGCTCAGTGATAGATTGAATCCCTATGCAAAAAAACCTATCAGCAGCATAACAACCTCTTTCTTAGCAAGCATTACCTCATTCCCCATTACCCCTGTGTGTCCTGGGGCCCAGCAGAATGTAACGTTGGCTGCATGCCTAAGTTGTTTAGTTTTGCAATTCAACGCCATCTTTGAGCTAATAATGTTTGAGTTTAATGCTCTGATGGCTGCCTAACTATTGAACATGATAACTATGTATGTCCTTGTTTTTATACTCTATATTCAAATTGAACGGAACACATCTCTCAATTGAGTGGATTTCAACTTGAAAGTTACTGGAGTACTCTCTCATGGGCTTCAAGTATGGTATCCTACCCCTCAGATGAATTCTTCAATTATTGATGGTTAGGGGTGAAAAAAGTTCTTCCAGATAAATCATTAATAGAGTTTGGACACAATAGGTGAAACTTTAAGTCCAAAAGAGAGGTTCATCATCTCGCATATCCCGAAGAGAAATTTCACAATTAACTGTATCTTAGCTATACCCAAGTGATTATCACCCTGCAAATAAAGCGTTCGTCTGATGTGTCATGGTACTGAAAAAGATGATGTCACTTTCTTACAACATGCCATAAGGATGGTGCTCCAAAAAAAAGAACTAAATATTTAAATATAGTACCTGTATTCTTTCTATTTGGGGAGCTGCAGGGGGGGGGCAAATTTTGATACCCTGCAAGATCTCTTTTACTAAATGGAAAGACTGTCAGTTGCTTATGAACTAATTCTCGTAAATTGCGAGGCGCTGTGATAAAGTAAATATTGAAATCTTGACGTGGAACTGCTCATTCAGCTCACTATTAAGCAAACAAGAAAACATTCATTGACCGTACACTGTTCATTTTTATACGTACTTGCACTCTTTTACTTTAAACCATATAAATTGATATATTTAAAAAAATCGATACAGATTAATGATCGTATGATGATTATCAAATAATTATCAGGCAATTGTTATGCTGTCAAATTATTTTCTTTTAAAGGAATGATTTATCTACTTACTGTAAAACCCCCTTGAAAGCTTGAGGTACAGGTGAAACAGGCTTTAATAAATCAATTTTAAATGTTATTCGGGCGAAATGGCTCCATAGGCATACGAGAAGATCCTCCAAACGATTTGAATGTCGGCAGACCCGAGAATTTGCTTTTCAGAATTTGCTCTTTCCTTTTTGAACTAACAAGGCTAAATAACCTGCTCGCGTGTAACCTTCCTTACATACCGAAAGTCATAGTGTGCCGCGCTATAATCAACGTCAGAGTTGTCCCGCCAAGAAAAATAACATTTCAAATATATATATTATGTGTATTTTTTTGTTCACATACAAAATCGAATTTTATTATGTCGGGTAAAAACGTTCAATAGTTTCTTGAGCAAAGGTTCAGCGGTAGTATGCCTAGTTATATAGAAAACACTTTATAACATGAAAAAATTCGTACACGTTAACAAAGTACTTTATTTAGATATTTAGGTTGGTTGTTTTAAACTTTTTGATGTCACAGAAGTATAAGTTTTAAAATAAAGGCAAAATTTTCGGGGACATATTTTGGGAAAAGTCCTCGCGTTCGCTGTTAGATGGCAGGGGAAGTTTGGTTGGTGAGCCACAGTCAATACGGTGGTAGTCATGGTGACGACGGGGGTGCCTCACTAACTTAAATGACCCCATCCCCTAACTCTCACATCATCACTAACCCCTCCCAATGTGAACACAAACAACTTCCTTATCATTTCCTTCCACGGGGTCGCAACGGCTGCCGTACTCGAGTCCTCGGTTAACCGTTCAACTGGATTTATGCGATTAGAAACCCCCCAAACAAATCTCATATGCGTTTAACCTTTTTGTCCTTGTTGCCGGCTTGTTGGCTTCTTGTTCTTTCACTCTTTCCGCGTAACAAATTCATTTGTCGTTTAGAAATCTTTGAAAACAAACGATGGAATGAATGACAAAATTAAGCGTTTTAATTTTAAATATTTTTAAGTTTTTACAAAGTGGTCATCTTATGTTTTTGATCTTGCCTGTCATGAAAAAAAAGCTATAATACGGGGAAACGCACAGACGCAAACTAACCACTGAAAATGGCGAAAAGATAAAACTCATCTGACAGTGTAAAACTGTAATGGACGTATCAGAAGGATCGGAAACGACCCAAGGTTCAACACCGCATAGACCTTAAGGAGAAATCTCATTCATAACCGACCAATTCTAAAAACAGCTCCAGAAATCAGAAGTATCCAGGGAGTCAGAGAGAATTCGTATTTCTGTATGGGAAATGTTGGCTTAGTTTAAAATTCCAGAAGCACTTCCAGAAAAGAGCAAATGATCGGAAACGACCGAACTGCAGGCTCATCAACCCTGCAGATCTCAAGAAGAAATCTCACAATTGGTTATAATTTTTGATAACAGTCTTATAAATAGAAATGCGATACGTATTAAACACTTGTTTGATTTAATAAACCATAAAATTCATCGAAGTCCAAATGTACTTAACACTGTAACATAATTAATGGAGGGATTTAGAAAAGGAAGTTTACCGACGCGAGATGTGGACAAGGGTGGGCATGGGACTGCGTTATTGCGCCAAACCGTAAATTACATTAATTCTAGTGAAAGAGCAAATTAAGAAGTCAAGTGAAATGTAATATATTAACGTTGAATGAATAAATCAAGAATGAGAGAACTGGGGCGGGGGTGGGGGAGTAATGTGCTTAGGGCCAGTCAGGGAGGCGGATATATTAGCCGTAATCACGCGACGCTCAGTCACTCTAAAGCCGGATGATCGCTTCCGACGGATTGTCTCTCCTTTCTTAAATGCCCAGGCGCCCTCAGGAAACGACCTTTTTAAAACAAAAATTAACACATATCGAGTCATGACCCAGGAGGAAGGTAACCTGGACGTCGATAATTGTAAAAGCGTTGCTTAACTAAATTAGGATTGTGGCTGTTCATTTTACAGCAAAGAATCTCTAGGGGTATTAAAACTTAATTTGACAGATAAAGTCATCATAATGGCAAAACAACCGGCACTCATGGTTGTACGAGATGGCATGAACTATTCTATATTGATTCTATTCAAACAAAACCCCCCAGACCAACCTTGACATTAAAAGGAAGGAGAAGCGGAAAAACCCCCACCTGTCATGGAAGATACGATCTGTTGTTTTACGGATGGCTTTAGGATGCAAGAGGGGATAGCCCAAAATCAAATATGGGATAGAGAAAGGGATAAATGAGGCCTTTTAGCTTCAGTTGTCAGTCATCCCCTATAGCCTTGCCAGCGGCTCCTTAAAATAGGATCTTGTTTGTGGCTTTTTCTCTTCTAGTTGCAAGAATCTACATCTACATAGACCCTCACAAAGGGATAGTCTGTGTTCTGCGATCTAATCTTCCTACTGGCAATATTTGCACAGTATTTCTTCTGTCAGTACTCCTATGCCTTCTTGGCTGCAGTGACTTGCCAGGGAGTCCAACCGGAATCCTGGTTCTGTTGGGGTTTCTTTTGTACGTCTTGCAGATGGCCCTTCTATGAATCTCTATGCGTGTCTCATGCCTGGGGGTTGGTCCACCAAGTTTTGGACTCATTAAGGTCCATTTTGGATATATCCGTTTTTGTGGGAAGGTGCTAGGCCACAGTAGGGTTCGGGACCTAGAGAATATTTATATTGTCTCATTTTTTGGCCAACATATTCTCTTTCTCATTCCCTCTATGATCCGAATGCTCAGGATCCCATGTCAGATCAGGCCATTGGTGTCATTGACTTCTGCTAGGGATTCCATACAATTCTGTACGCTGTACGCCTCGCCTAAGGTTAAGGCATTAAGTGTCTGTCTGTCAGAGAAAATGGCCATCATCTTAGGATGTGTCCCTAGTCTTTTTATTTCTCTGGCGCAGAGAAACCAGAACCGATGCCATGGTTTCAGACGTGAAAACTGTAGCGTATCTACCCAAGTTTAAAGACAGTTCCGACTTCGGAATCACCCAGAGTACTCCAGCTCCCGTGCCTCTATCCGTTTTTGAGTCGTCAATATACCAGTAGGCTTTCAGAGGTATTCCTTTGGCCAACTCTTCCCTTTTTGGCCCCTTCTTTTCCAGTCACCATACAACATGTACAATGTCTCAGAATCCTAAAATGTTTCTTGGACATGTACTTCTGATTCAACTGGCATTCTAGAAAGATCAGCTTTAACCAGCTTTCAGGTCGTGGAGAAAGTGTTTTGGTACCTATAACAGAACTGCTGCCAACAGGTCAAATAATTAAATTTGGATAAGGACTGGACATTTTGGTCTCCTATCAGTATTGTACAGGAGTACAAAAACTGTACAACTGTATAACACCCCATGAAATAGACAAGCACTCAACAATGAGACGGATGAATTAGCCCAGTTAAGGTTAAAGTTACAAGAAGTCGGCTTCTTTTCGGCCCATCGCTCCGCGACCAGTATAACTCTAATATGCATCTTTATTATAATCTAGTACTCTTCATTAAGGTTAACCCTTTTTATGAAATCCCAATGCTTTGTTAAAAACTCCTGTATTAACAGGCTTTCGCACTAACAGAGGACATGTTCCTTCTTCTTCCGGGGTATATCTACACAGGATTATTTCTGCTTCTCGGAGTCTTCATATATTCTCCGGAGTTTGAAGTATTCAGCTAGCAGTCCAACTCCGTCAACTAACTGAAATTGGGTCATTGTTGAATATATCCATGTTGTGTAAGTGCATTCTCAGATGCCATTGACCGGTATAGCGTCTTATCATTCCTCTGAGTTTTATCCTGTTTATCTTTGACGAGGATTATTTAATTACAAGTTTACCATGTCTAGCACCTCTAGAATTTATCCATTCTATATTTCTTTAGTTTTGTGTGAAACATTTTCAGGTGGAGTAGTCTGAGGTTAAATTTAAGGCAAAGGAGTCGACCTCTTTAGACCACGCACGGTGGTGCCGGCGGTGTGTTGGCACAAAGAAACCAATGTAGGTCTAGAGCTCTTTATTAAGCTTTAGGTTTTGCAGCAGATCACAGTGCTTCCCTATCCCTTAGGTCTTCGAGCCAACAGTAGACATATTCTCCGATTTTCTCTTCTTCCTGCACAGGCTTTTATCTGCTGCTCCATGTCAATACATATTTCTCCAGTCTGTAGCGTTCAGTCAGCAGTCCTAACACGTCCCTGCGTTGGTCCTTCAATGAACATTTTTGCATACTTATGTCCTGGAATATAATCTCATTAGACGAAACACTTATTATAATCGCCAATATACCGCCATAATTATCGGGTCCTGGCAACTCCTCAATTCCCTCTCCAGCATCTCTCCTCTCATGCTAAATAACCTTTCCATCCCCTTCTGCTCTTCGGTTAAAAAGTTAGGAGTAGTCTTTGACCAAAACCTTTCCTGGCATTCTCACATTTCCCAAATTTCCCGCCATTTCATTGCCTCCCCCAGGCTGTTTCGTCGGTCCTGGCTTCTCTTACCTTTCTCCACCCGCAAACTCCTTGTATCTTCCCTTATACTTCCCTTCTTCGATTATAGCTGTTTGGCATACGGTGGTCTCTCGGAGGGGGAGAACGCGCGATTGAAGCGTATTATGAATTGTTGCGTAAGATTTGTGTACGGCACCCCACGGGGATCCCGGGTGTCGGGTTGTATTCCCACTTTCTTGGCTATTCCCCTCCTTCCGTGCACAGTATTCCCTAGGTTGATTTCTTTTCCAGTCTATCCACACTCGTCGTCCTCCTTACATTATCCAATCCCTCCAATTCAACTCCTCACATCTCACTCGTAAGACCTGCTTATCCCCAATCGACTTTATCCTTCCGCAACATACAACCCATACCTTCGAAAGATCCTTTCTGATCCGAGCCCCTAAACTCTGGAACTCCCTTCCCCTTTCTATCCTTTTCCTCCTTTAAATCCCACCTGTATAATCACCTCCTCTCCCTCCAAGCAGAGACGTCACGTTAACATTTGTTATTTTTGTTTAATATCCTCGTAATTTTTTCTTCTGCCCTGCCTTATTGGTATACATTGTGCCAAGATTTCTATTTTTTTTTTTTTTTTACTTTTAACTTCATAGAAGGAACTTCCTTTATTTAGTTTATGTAAATTATTCTTAGGGGACCAGTCCCAGAATAAAGTTATTTTTCTTCTTCTTCTTAATCCATGGCCCTTAAGAACAATCTTTCTGAGGTTTATGACAAATTAAAACTTCTTG